ATAATAGCTCAAATGGTCAGAAGTGAAACTTTAGTCAGAGGGATTTTTAAAAAACAAACAAACAAACAAAAAAACCCACATAAAATAGTTTGTTGACACAAATGCATAACTCTCACCTTAAAGGAGATAAGAGATAGTTTATTCTGGAGCCAAGTATGAGTGGCCATGGCCCAGGAACACAGATTCAGGTTACACCAAATTCCATGCTCCAGCCTGGTAACAGTTGCCTTACATTTTTATAGTAACAGAACAAAGAAAAGTCATAAATCAAGACACTTTTCAAATGGAGGATAAGCAGCAAAGCGGGAGGGTTCTTACTATAGGTCTCAGATGTTATCTGATGACATTCTTAGCTTTTGAATTGGTGAGACCTGGTGGTCTGCTGTTAATACATTCTAAAAGATTTTTATCTGTTAGTCACAGGATGTTAGATCAGAAACAGAGGTGGGTAAAGAGCGGCTGTTTAGGGGGCTAAAGATGGCCTAAGATAAATGGTAATTAGACTCTGGACCTGCAACATTCCAAACTTTCCACAGTCTTCAGAGTGATGATCAGTTGGTCAGCCTTGCAGAAGTTCAGTCCAAGGTGCAGGAGTTCTTTTTGAGAACTTTTCTTTCACAAGTTCAACATTTGAACAGTAAATTCAAGCTTCCCAGCTTGTGTTTACAGAGTCATAGTCAGCATTTCATGTCTAAGGCCTTCCCCCAAATACTTTGACCATCACAAGAATTTTTGAGTTTTTAGTTCATAACGATAATAACTGTATTAAAATCACAATAACCATATGCCTCTCACTGGATAGCAATCTATTCTTCATGAGAGTTTTATATCCTAGATGTCACATAAAAGTGGACACTGGCCCGGAGACAGGGCTCAACTGGTTATGCCCTTGCCACACAAGCATCTCTTCCATCCTAAACGGCCATTCAGGGGAACCTGAGTCTGTGTTCCTGGGAACATATTAGGCTTAAAAATAATCCTTTGGACAGGAGCTATGTTTTGAGTTGACAGGACTATGGAATGTACAGCGTATTTTCCTAGTTTTTTTTTTTTAATTAAGAATGTATTTCTATATGGACAGTTGTATAAGTACTTAAATCTGATCAAGTCCAATAAAGAGGAAAGACGGGGGAGAAGAAAGAACCAAGAAGAGGGAAGAGAAAAAAGATAAGAGGGACAGAGCTCTCCACATGCAGTAAAACGTCCAAGCTCTCCTTGGCCAGACACATACGTACCTACTACTAAACACACCGGGTGCTTTGTTAGGAATGATTTGGAGAACATGGGCCAGTGTTGCTGCTCTCCTCGATCTTCCAGCTACCAAAATGGAGATGACAGAGAAAGACTGTAGCATTGTAGATTAGAACTAATTGAATACAGATGAAATTCCCCAGTTGCAGTCAATACTGGTCAAGTTGCTTGTAAATGGAGATTTCAGAGTCAGGCATGTTTTACTAATGGAACTCAAAATTACAAAAAACCCAATTTCCATTAGTTTGTTACATTCAACATTTGACAAGATGTTAGATGGGGTGATGGCCCTGTTTATCTTCCCTCTCCAGCCAAGTATGTACTCAGGATATAAAGAGCACATGAGGAGTTCCTAGAAAATAGGATGAATGGTAGATGACAAGATTGCCACATAAATAGCCCACCTGATCAAAGACACATTTCATTTGCCATATTTTTTAAAACAAAAAATACTGAGAAAGCAAAACTGGAAGAGGGACATGATATTAAATGGGCTTTACACAGTATCTAAGGGTACAGACTTTTTTTTTTTTCCATCTAGGTAAAGCTGACTGTTACATTTAGTGGTGACTGGTTTATTGACTGCTAATGCTTTCAAAATGAGATTAAATCAGGTCCATGGTCTTTATTACAGGGAAGATATATGCCCCTTGTGAATTCTAGTGGTTTGGCAATCTTAACCTCAGTAGATATAACATTGATGTATTCCATGTTGCCAAACAGCATGGTAAGTGTTTAAAATGCTGTGAAGAAGCTTATTGCCTTGAAATGATACAATCTAATATTAGATTGTAACTCAATGACTGAATTCGTGAGCCTATCCTTCTACTGAATACGAAAGTCAAAGCCACTTTACTTTAATATCTCACAGGGAAGGAATCATTCTTTATTTCATCATTGAAAGAGAGAACACGTAAAAGTGAACCTCGATTGCAGGAGAGCAGAAACCACAACATATCGGACCGTTTTCATTAACAGTGCAGCTGCAGCTGCCTTTGGTAATAGGGCATCAAAATGTCAGCCTGATTCATTCCCATGGCAGAACTGCTTTGGCCCAGACAACTGATGAGAAGGATCCATGTGTCCAGAAATGTATGCACTACAGAACGTCAATGTGTGTGTATTTTCTCAGAAGTATAACTTTTCCCTAATCCTCAGCACTTTTGCCACCTGTTCCCCTTAGTCAATCACAATTATCATTAACTTTCAGTCTTCCTTATACTTTATACATCAATCAAATTCTGGACAACTATCACTCACAGCCTCCAGGTGGCCTTAAGCCTTGGTTTTAATGATCAGGATGTCTCTCCACCTGTCTCTCAGGCTGTCATCACTAGAGCAGACACGGTTACCTCTAAATATGATGATGAAGTATCTTGGTTTTATTTGATACTGAAACGCTTCTCAAACTATAGGACTTCAAATGTGAAACCGATGTCAGTCCAAGGCAAATCAGAATGCTTGGCCAGTCTTCCTATACTGAACACTCTACTTACAGGACACCTTTGCAGAGGGGGTATCTGTTGAAACTGGATCTGAAAGAGCCTACTTTCGTTTCAGCTGCTGAAACAAAGTACATAAATTGAGTCTATACACAACAACAGGAATTTATTTCTCACAAATCTGAGAGCTGGGAGTCTGAGATCAAAGAGTCAGCAGCTTTGGGTTCTGTTGTGGCCCAGTTCGGGGTTGTACAGTGCTGATGCCTGACTTGCTGTGTTTTCACGCTTCAGGAAGCATGCCTGAGCATTCTGCATTCCGCTCCGGATGCGTTCATCTCCTGAAAGGATACACCTCATGGTGGAAGCTCTTTTTCTGTTAGGATTGCTACAGGGTACTTTTGAAGTGATAAAACCTTCACTTATAAGAGACTTTGGTGTGGTAAAGAACCACAAAAATGTGGCAGAAAGCTGGGTTTGGAATGTTAAAGCCTGTCTATGAGATCCAATTCTTTACAGCTTCACCAGACAAAAATACAGCTCACAGGGTTCAGCTTAAGTGAAACATCACTGAAGAGTGTGTGTCTGTGTGTCTGTGTGTGTTTGTGTGTATGTGTGTTGTGTGCCTGTGTGTATAGTATATATGTGTGAAGTCCTGCATGACTCCCTTATTTACTGTTATTACCAAACCATAAGTTCTAATTCTTACCAGCCTTCCAGGGTACATCTCCAGTACATGACATCTGAGGGAGAATTAAATGGCTAAATAACAGCTTTTTGTTCTTTGTATGCCTGTTTCATTTTGTAATAAAAACTAAAATTAAGTTTGGAAGTAGCCTTTCAATTCTGTTTACCCATTTGATGGCTTAAATTTATTTCTATTTAGATTCATTGGTTTGGTTTGGTTTGCAATTTCAAATTATAGATACATATATATGTATACAATAGTACAACTTTTAGTGAAATTATTACAGACCTCTAAAAGTAAAGATCTGATACCATTCCTAACAGGCCTTACATGAGAGCCTTCTCTCTGACTACAGATTTAGAGCAGACAGAGCAACGTCGTGGGTACTACATAATACCACACGATTTATCCAATGTCGGTATAGTTTTGATATGCCCAGATGAAAAGATAAATGTTATCCAATCATTTGGCTGTTGAGCTGACAAGGGAGTGACCTTTGGAAGAAAAGGTAAAAGGTTTTATTTCTCACCTGAGAGCTGTGTTGTGGGTCAGGACATTGTAATTAAAATAATACATGCTGCTATGACGGCATGAAAAGTGACTTTACAAAAGTTTAGCACTGGGGAAGCCACAGAGTAGAATTGGTTAGGGTATATTTTCTAATATTTTATCAATAAAAGGCCTCCCATTTACCTAAGAAGTGAATCAACTTGAGTCACTTTTGTTTTTGAAATGAATCCTGCAATGCTGTGCTGAACTTAGATCTCACTACTGTTTTCCATGTTAATTGAAAAATAACTCGGGTAAAGAACTTGAGACATGAATCATTTTTGCATCTTTCCCGTTGCTTGCAAATGTACACAGCATAGTCATTACAACACAGACGTTCCTCAGAAAAGCAAAACCAGAGGTACCATATGATGCTATAAGCACATTACTGAGTATGTGTATCACAATGGGATGCAATCAGTGTGACAAAGGAATGTCTATATCCCTGTGTTCAATGCAGTGTATTCACAATAGCTGAGTTTCAAAATCATCCTACACGGCCACCGGTAGATGAGCAGATAAGGGAAATGTGGTTCACATACACACCAGAATATCATTTAGCTTTTTAAAAGAAGGAAATCCTGTTATTTTTGACAATATAGTTGTGAACCTACAGGATATTATGCTAAAGTGAAATCCATCAAGTACAAAAAGGCAAGCATTGCGTGACAGAATCTAAACTGTTGAAATCACAGAATGCAGAATGACGATTACCAGAGGCTGGGTGATTTGAGAGGTGGAAAAGTGGTTCATAGTATCAGTTAGGAGGAGGAATATAATTTTGAGACATATTGTTCAGCATGGTGACCATAGCTCTACGTGTAATGTGTACTTAAACATGGCTATGTGAATAATTTCAAATGTTTTCACCACAAAAATGGTATTTGACATGATAGATCTGCTAATTAGCTTGATATAATCACAAAACATCACATTACAACATGCAAAAAATAACTTTTTCAATTAAAAATAAGAAATCTTAAAAATATGCATTGCTTTTACAAGAATTATTTTCTTGTCTCTAAAAATGGAAAAAAAAAGATAGAGACTGTAGAAGAAAATTATGTACATACCTGCTACTGCAACTTTTGCTGTCCGACTAATAATTGAGCCAGAGTCTCCCAAGGATGCCTCACACTGGTAAAGTCCCTCATCTGGTTTGTGGTGTCTGGAGTGAAGTATGTTTTGTATCAAGAGAGACCCATTAGGAAGTTGCTGCTTCCTGTCATCCAATCCCAAGCCTAGGTTGATGCCATCTTTTTTCCACTTGATAACTGGAACTCCTCGGTCAGATTCTGCAGAGCAGTTGAGCAGAACATTTGCTCCTCGCATTGTGATGGCATCGGAAGGTTCTGATAAGAAGCGCAGTGATGTGAAAGGTTTAATTTGAAAACCTGGAATAGGAGAGCACAGCAAGATAAGTTCATGAGTCAGAGGAGTTTCAAGTGTCAATTCCATGCTTCCTTACAAAGCTTTAAAATAAAACAGGGTGGAGGGCTTTTTTAAATTTCCAATAATCAGGAATACTATATTAAACAAAAGATTAATATCTGTTTGAGTCTCAATTACTGAAACAATTGGTCCACAAAATATCACTAAGTGTTAATGACTCGTAAATTATGAATAAGACTATCATTACATTTTAGTCATTATTTCAAGAATTGGCCAGAAATAATGAGTATTTTTTCAAAGAACATCAAATATTTTAAAGTCTCTATAGTCCATAGTAAGACAGGTACAATTTGTGATTCTTGTTTTATATTTTTATTTTTATTTTAGGATATGTTAATATTTTTAAAAGTCTATCTATTCTATTTTACAAAAATAAAAATTGATAGTATGTGCATAGTTGTTTAGAAAGAAACTCAGGTGCGCTTTTAAATAGGTAATGTAAACTGCATGAGAAGTCAATAAAACTGTAGTCTAAACTCCCTGAGGTGTTTTCACTTCTTTCCAAATGTCTCTTATGGGCCTGAATAGCTAAGAAGCCATTGCAGTTGGATTCTATCATAAACATAAATGAACACAAGAAGTCAACGGGCAGAATAGAAAGTCATCTAAGAATCTTAAGGGGATTGAACAAGCGTAATTAAATTCTTTTCTTTTTGAGCTTGTCAGTATAGTGTTTCTCTGTACTCCGATTGTTAAAGTAAAGGACTTGAAGTGGTCTCAGGAGGTCATAGGTTTCAAATTCTGTCCAGACAGGTACCTAAGCTATTCAAGACAAGATATTTTAAATTTTGAACAATCTCTAAGGCTAAAGACTATTTTTCCCAAGTATCTTGTTTCCAACATTTAGAGATATTACAATCTGTGATTTCTGACCACTGTTTAATCACATTTTTCTCCTGAGCTGCTTTGTGTGAAATTGTAGATATGGCATTCATTTTCTTAGGAGGATCTTTTATTCATTTGAAGCTGCATTTCATTTCAATAAAAAGCACTCCTAAATAATATGTCAGTCTTCCTTTATCTTAGAATGATAACCTCAAGTTCATTACCATTCTTGATTTATCTGTAATGGGAATACTTTTGGTGGTTTTGTAAAACCTTCCTGACGTTCTATCATCTAAAGAGGAAACGTCTAAATTGATATAATCAATGTTCTCATTAGGGCTTTACCCATATTGACTCTGATGGTCAGAATTATTCCTAACTTTTCTTACCCTATTTTTCCAGGGAAGATATAACTACTTCAGCCATTTCTCCCAAGAGTGAGTAATGTACATGCCTGGTTCTCTAAATCTTAAACTTTTTTATCCTGGTGTACTTCATCACTTCTCTTCATATGCTAACTCCACCCAAATAGGCCATTTGACAAAAGAAAGAGTCTAGAACTTTGCTTATATTAATATAAATTGTAAAGTAATAGTTACCATTTAAGTCTGTGGGTAATAGTGGTAGAGAGCCTGACCCACTCACTGGCTGTCCACATATGTTCCTTTCCATACGGATCTACTAATCAGTTAGCCTATACAGAACAGCAATCTGTATTCTAGGGGAAACTACAAAAAAATGGAGAATATGGCTTTCTAGCCTCTCTTTCTGTTATTTATTTATTTATTCATTTAAATACACAATTCTAAAAGGTTTTGCATTTCCTCCAGACTCAGTTCCCTTATCTGCAAAATGAATGCTTTCATTGCATTGATCTTCCTGTTCAATGCTCAGTGCCCATTTTGGAAGGAATTGGTACAAAAATGAGCAGAGGGCATCCTTGAATGGAACTTGCTAAGCCTCTGAGATGCTGATAGATGCTGAGGGAAGTGCTCTCCAGGATAGATAGGCTCATTCTTATTTGCTGGAAAGAAACACTGGCTAGCAAATATCTAGCTAGAAAGATCCAGGAAGGGTGAGGAAGCAGAAAGAAGTTCTAATGTTGTTGAATGTCAAGATGCTTCAGTAGAATAATGTCCACAATTTCCATTTAAGTAGCATTAATATGAGAAAAATAAATTTAGAATCCAAGACCAGGCAACTATATTAAAAAACGTTTATTGCATTTTTGTTCTTCCTGGGGCTTATATTTTAAACACAACCTCATGCTGAGCACCTTATTTATGTCACAGAGCACATAATACATTTAGCACAGCTGTTTATGACAGCATGTTAATGAGCATATGTGCCCATTATCACAAATAAATAATCCACTTACTCTGAAACAGGGAGGTTATGACAGTTTTCAGTGCTGTGAGTACAGGGTTTAGGAAAGTTAAATAAAGATTAACTTTGTTGTAATACAATTATCTTGCAGCTCGTTGGCAATTTGAGCTTTTTGTATGCCTTATTACAATGATACTTTAAATATATGGCTTTGGAATAAAGAAACCTCTTTGCTCTTAGGAACGTGTGTTACTAATTTTGAGAAAGGATGGACCCAAGTTAAAAGAATTATTTGAGACATAAATGACTCCAGTGGTTTGATGTGAGGCACTGGCTGTCTCTGAGCCCCTTGTACTGTACTTCACACATGTCTAAGAAATGATCCACTAAATATATCAGTTACACTGATATCAGCGAGAATTACTCATCCCTCCTTTTCTCTTACCAAGATGATTTTTTTGTGGAAGAATTTTGCCCACTGATATATCCTATGTCAATATGAAAAGTTTTATCAAACGATTTAATCCAATAATCAATGGTAAGTCAGCAAATTTGTGAGAGGAAGCTAAGTAGAGAGATGATAAGACTGAACACAAAGAAGACGCATAAAGAAATGTAGAGGCTGTAGCTCAGAAAGTGATTTGAGATTTGAGCTTTCAAGCTTCCAAGAAAGTACAGATCTCCTGAGAAATGGATGACAGATGGGATCAGAATGGGCAGAAGAACGGAAGAACCAAAATTAAACTGCCTTCCTACAGTGCCACAGAGTATCTTCCATAATTAAATCTATATAATATATACAAATGCAGGAGTGTTTTCTTTTGTTTGGCTTTTATTCCTAAGCTATCTAGCAGTGAGTGACCCATTGAACACATTCCCCAGCCTTACTTCATAAAGGAAGCAATCCCTGGGCTAGGGATGCTGCTCAGTGGTACAGCATTCGTCCATTTAACAGGGGCATGACTCTGATTTTGAGTCACATAACTATTAAAGCAGAAAAATTAAAAGGGAAATAATCCTTTTGGTGAAGTTATAAAATTATGGTGATTCTGGTTTTGAAAAGGTATATTTTATGTATATAAAATGAAACAATCCCCTTTATAAAGAGATTTGAACAACTGAATGATACCAAAGTCCACCAGAAGAACAAGTGAATCTCCAGCTCTTACTCTCTCCAAATGTTATCTTGGGTAAACATGTAGGTAGAATGTAGGCTAAGGTTAAAAATGCACTGAAATAATGGCTCTGTGTTTACCAGAAAAAAAAACAACAACATAACTATTAGGTCATTATTAGATGATCTCCCTCTTCCCTCTCCTCTCCACACATTTCCCCTTCCTTTGTCCATGTTTCCCTGCACAAGAAAGCCTATTCTTGAGGGGTGACCCAAAGGAGGAATATTATCATTATTTGTTTTAGTTTTGTCAGACAGAAAAAGGCATCAACAATGAAAGTCTTTCGTGGTTAATCTTCATTACCGACTTGAATGGGTTTAGATTCACTCAGTAGATAATCTTCTGGGTGTGTCTGTGATAGTATTTCTCAAGATTAACAGAGGAGTGCAAACTAATTTGAATATATTTGGCAACATCCCTTGGACCAGAGATCCAAACTAACTAAAAGGAGTAAAATGAAAAAAACCACACGAACCCTGACAATTCCCATTCCCTTTCTATCTCATCAGCATCATGGACCAAACCAAACCACTTCTGCCACCATGCCTTCCCTCAGGATGCGCTGCATTCCTGGGAACTGTGAAACAACATCTTCCTCACTGAAGTTCTTTTTGTTGGTTTTTTTTTTTTTTTCATAGCAAGAAAAGTAATGTGACTTCAGACATTTCAAGTTTATATTAATTATCTAGTTGTGGAAATCATATTTCATATATTTTAGAAACTCCTTCACGTGATCAAGTGGTAAACTGTTTCTGTACATTTCTGTCCCTTTGTGCTTCCTCTCCTTATCATATCCTCATTCATTTCAAAGCCCGTCAGTCACAGAGGCAGGCTAACCTACAATGGGTTTTTAGGTATGACATATTATCTACACTATCAAACATTGTTGAGCATGAAAAATACTTCCTCACAGAGTTAAAAATCCCTTTTAGAGTACAAAATGCAAAAGCTTCTAGTTATGGGAAAAGAGGTAGAAATGAAATTTGTGAAAAGTAGCTTGGGAGTGCAAAGAAGCTCCTGAAAGATTCTGAGATTAGAAAATGTCATATAAATCTCTAGAGAACTTGCTGTGCATAATTTGATCATTTTTAAATTATACAAACTTTGAAATGCTTCAAGTTTCTAAAAGTACCTAAATTCTCAGAACTGACCCAGAAAACCCTAATACCATTACCTCTTTATAGAAATATGTCACTATATCTGCATGTTGTTCAGATAAAGAAATCTATGTCAAAAGAGATAAACAATTCTGTGGAAGATGCAATATAATCTACTTTGGACTCCTTAGGCATCAAGAACCTATGCAGTTGTAACTCTATGTCTGACAGCATTTAAACTTTTAAAATACATTTCAGGCTTTGAAATGGAGCTAGGGATTAAAAACCAACACAATAAAATGAAAAAATAAGCCGAAGCTCTAAACACATGTGAATATCATTGAGTTTAGCAGGTAAAAGTGTAAGTTTTAGAATAAGGTTTCAGAATAACACCACCTGGGAACCTGGGAGAAGTGTGATCCCAACCTCTGTCCTGTACCTATCCTTCAGCAATGATGAAGAAGGGCCCAACAGCCTGTGCTTCAAGAACACATCTATGGGATTCTCGGGTTAACTAAAGCTTAAGAATTCTGTTC